CGTGTATTTCGGGAAACCAATGATAGTTTTGTCCCTATTTTTTGATCAGTTTGATAGCGCACAGAGAGTCCAGGAAATGGGGTTTGGACTCAGACTCGACCCCTACCTGTGCTCACAAAGGGAGTTGGCAAAGATTGATAAACTATTGAATGATACATTTATAACACAAAAGTTGGCTAAAGTAGCAAAATGTACACAAACTAATAAAGAGATTGAGAAATTGTCACAATTAGTGAAAGGTTTAGTCAAATAAGTTATAATTATTTGTATAAAAAACTATAAATTAATAAATTAATTTTATGTATTATATAAGGTCTTAGTTTTGAATTTGCCTAAGATATGTTATTTTAAATAATTTATTTTAATGTAAAATAAAATAATATAATTTATGAGTTATAAATAAAATAATAAAAGAAAATAAAAGTGTGCTACAAATGTGTCTAATGTAGTGTACTTTTTGTAGGTATATAAAACTTATCATAACTTTTAAATGTCTCAGCGATAAGAGTAGATAAAAGTGAATTCATTGTGTAATGAGACAAATATTTGTGATTTCAAAACACAATAGTTTTATGATTTCATTAGTAAAATGGAATCCAAAATTAAATGTACTTTCACCTAATATATTAAATTATATTTATAATAATTCCGTTATTACCGTATAATAAGTTAGTTTGCTATGCTATAAATGAAGTTAATTTATTTAAAGTATTGTTTTTAATGTAATTAAGTCTATGATTGACCAAACAGTTGATTAAATACTCGATGAGATGAGCGACGAAGTGCTAAATGTGGCAAATATTGTCACAATTGAAGGCAAATACGAGAATGAGTTCACTAAATTATGCCCAATTGGCGCCGGTAGCTTTGGTCGGGTATTCAAAGTGGAAAGCAAGGCTGATAAAACAATACACGCAATTAAAATTTTGACCGAAAGTAAGATACAAATTTAATTTTATACTATAAATACTTAAATGATTGCGATGTAAATAATTAAAACTAATATTTTGTATAGATATAAGTCCCGAGAATTACGAGTCATATATAGCCGAGTATTTGGTGTTATCTGAAG